CCCCCCCCCCCCCCCCATACCCACAACCCCCCCCCCCCCCCCCCCCCCCCACCCCCCCACAAACCCCACCACAAAAAAACCCCCCCCCCCCCCCCCCCAAACCCCCCCAAAACATAAACCCAAACCCACAATAAACACCCCCCCCCCCCCCCCCCCCAACCCCCCCCCCCCCAAACCCCACCCCCCCCCCCCCCCCCCCCCCCAAAACCCCAACCCCAAACCCCCCCCCCCCCCCCCCCACCCCCCCCCCCCCCCCCCCCCCCACCCCCCCCCCCCCCCCCCCCCCCCACACCCCCCCCCCCCCCCCCCCCCCCCCCCCACCCACCCCCCCCCCCCCCCCAACACACAACCCCCAACCCCCCAACCCCCCCCCACCAACAACACCCCCCCAAATAACCCCCCCCCAAAAACCCCCCACCCACATACCCCCACAAACACCACACCCCAAAACCAAACCCCCCCCCCACAACCCCCCCCCCCCCCCCCAACCCCCTCCCCCACCCCACACCCCCCCAAACCCCACAAACCCACCCCCCCCACCCCCCCCCAACAAACAACACCCACCCAACACAACACCCCTACGGGGGACCATCCCCCTCCCACCCGGGTCACCCCGTATTCCGCCACCACCCCGTGGTACCCCCCCCCGGACATTGCTTGCCCACCCAAAGACGTGCAAACGTGGAGGCAAAAGCGTCCCGTGACCACTGTCCCAACCCCTGGTGCGGCAGTTGTGCCGGCACCACGTTCACCCAGTGGGCCGTAAATGACAGTGTACACCCCTGACCGTAGTTACAGCCCCCCCAACGTCGGCCTGCCCCCGTAGCACTTTTTGGCAGAGACCGACTTGCCGTTTTTCACCCCCCGCTGACCCACCCTGTGCCACCACCCCCCCCCCCCCCCATCCCCCACCCCACACATGACCCCTACGCCGTGAAATGGCAGGGCTTGCACTACCCCCTTTTGGCAAAGAACCCCAGGCTTGGCACTCTCCCCCCCGGCCGCCGAGGCACAACCCACCCATTTCTCGTCGGAAGGTGTGCTGACGTCCCACCAGTTGGAAAAGGGAGGGACTGCAGCCCTCAGCCCCTTGGACCCCTGGAGGACGTTCAGCTATTTTATTTTTTGCCCCCCCCCGCCCCCCCCGTGCTCGCCCCCTGGATGTTGTGGTCTCTTGGATACGACTCCCCCCCCCCCCCCCCCCCCCCTGTTGACCCCCCAAAATCCGAGAACCGGAGTAGTAGCAGGAGAAGGAGCATCTGAACGAGCGGAAAGATGCCCCCCGACAAACCCCCCCCAGCAGAGGTGTTGGAGCCTTGACTGGCTGATAGAGGCATTGCGACCCGACCGTCTTGGGTCCCGGAGCAAGTAAACGGAGCAGGGGGTGATGGAGCCGGGGGCTGGGGCAGGTCAGCAAACCGCCGTAAATGGTTTTTATGTTTATCACGGGTTTTCCCCCACCCATCCCCGAATGGTGACGCCTCCCCCCTGACCCAAACTTCGCCTCTGTACCCCCACACCATCCCCCCCCCACGCTTGCATTTCTGGCCACCCCCATAGTCGACATACGGCTTAACGTTTACTTTCCTCGGGCGGCTGAGGAAAAATTGCCACACCACCCGAGCTAGGAAAACTTTAGCCCCCCGCTACTCTTCAACTGGCTTGACTGCTACTTTCCTCCGTGCGCCCCGGCACCACTCCCACTGGCCGTGGGTGGTAGGCCTGCAGTGGAGCTGGTGCTCTACATACTCCCGTGTGAGGACAACGCTTTGGCTCCACTGCCACTGATGCGACCCTGCTGCTGTCTCCTGGGCAACCCACGGTACTGTGTTTGCTCGCTGCCAAGCTGCCACCCTCTTCTCTGATGATGCGGAAGAGAATTTGCCTGATGACGACGAGGCTGCAAGTCCCGTGCGATCAACCTCTCCTCATCATCAAGTAGGGTCTCCGCCTCACTACTAGCCCCCTCGGGCTTGCAGTCTGGGTCAGGAGACAGACCTGTCTCTAGAACCGGCTACCGAGCCCTCCCCTCCCCTCGCCAGTTAAAATTAGCCAGTACTTGTTCGCTTTGGCTGCTGAAAAAGGCCGATGTCTCCCCCCGTTCTGACCCGCCCTCTGTTACCGCTCTTCCTCACAGGTACAGTGGGGCCTGAGCCCACAGCCATGATTAATACTTCGCTTGGTGAGAGGAACAGCAAAGGACAGGGGCAGGTAGAGGACAAGTGATTTAAAATGATTTTCAGTGGGCTTGCTCCCGGGCCATGCCCACTTAACGGTTGTATCCCCTGACGTAAACCCACCGGACCGTTGGCTGTAGGTGTCAGAGGTGACCTTCTCTTGGAAGACGACCGAGAGCCAACCAATCAATGACGGGCAGGGTTGTCAGGTGGTGGAGACACGACCGCTGGATGACACCGGGAGCACTGGCCTCTGGCTGCGAATACTGCTCGCTGGCCTCGACCCCTTCCTCTGCTGCCACGTCGTGCTCGCTCAATCCTAAAACACATTGCCTCCTCTGCCATTCCTCTGATGTTGTCTGACATTACTATTTAATTCAACGATTAGGTGTCCCTGAGTAACAATTCTCTGGCACTCAGTAACAATTCTGTTCTGTCCCTGAGTATGAATTCTGTGGCCCTGAGTAACAATTCATGTGTCTGTGTGGCAAAGTAACACAATTCTTGTGTCCTGTGCGAGTAACAATTTCTGTGTCTGTGCAAGTAACACATTTTTGTGTCTGTGCCCTTGAGTAACAATTCTCTGGCACTCAGTAACAATTCTGTCTGTCCCTCGGAGTAACAAATTCTCTGGCACTCAGTAACACAATTCTGTCTGTCCCTGAGTAAAATTCTCTGGCACTCAGTAACAAATTCCTGTCCTGTCCCTGAGTGACAATTGTCTGGCACATCATAGCTGAGTATGAATTCTGTGGCCCTGGAGTAACAATTCTGTGTCTGTGCGAGTAACAATTTCTGTGTCTCTGTGCAAGTAACAATTTGTGTCTGTGCGGTTGCTTTGAGTAACAATTCTCTGGCTGTCAGTAACAATTCTGTCTGGCCTGAAGTAACAATTCTCTGGCACTCAGTAACATTTCTGTCTGTCCCTGAGTATCCAATTCTCTGGCACACAGTAGTAACAATTTTTTCTGTCTGTCCCTGAGTCATTGAATTCTGTGGCCCTGAGTAACAATTCTGTGTCTGTGCGAGTAACAATTTTGTGTCTGTGCCTGAGTAACAATTTTGTGTAAAATTCTGTGCTGAGTAACAATTCTCTGGCACTCAGTAACAATTCTGTCTGTCCCTGAGTAACAATTCTCTGGCACTCAGTAACAATTCTGTCTGTCCCTGAGTAATGAAATTCTCTGGCCCTCAGTAACAATTCTGTCTGTCCCTGAGTAACCAATTCTGTATGGCCTCTGCAGAGTAACAATTCTGTCTGTGTCTGTGGCCCTGCGTAACAATTCTGTGTGTCTGTGCGAGTTAACAATTTGTGTCTGTGCAAGTAACAATTTTGTGTCTGTGAGAGTAACAATTCTCTGGCACTCAGTAACAATTCTGTCTGTCCCTGAGTAACAATTTCTGGCACTCAGTAACAATTCTGTCTGTCCCTGAGTAACAATCTCTGGCACTCAGTAACAATTCTTCTGTCCCTGTATGAACACATTCTGTGGCCCTGAGTAACAATTCTGTGTCTGTGCGAGTAACAATTCTGTGTCTGTGCAAGTAACAATTCTGTGGGGTCTGTTGAGTAAACAATTTCTGTGTAACAATTCTGTCTGCTGAGTAACAATTCTCTGGCACTCAGTAACAATTCTGTCTGTCCCTGAGTAACAATTCTCTGGCACTCAGTAACAATTCTGTCTGTCCCCCCTGAGTAACAATTCTGTCTGGCCTGAGTAACAATTCTGTCTGTCCCTGAGTAACAATTCTCTGGCACTCAGTAACAATTCTGTCTGTCCTGAGTATGAATTCTGTGGCCCTGAGTAACAATTGTTCTCTGGCAAGTAAACTTCTGTGTCTGTAACAATTCTGTGTCTGTGCGAGTAACAATCAGTAACAATTCTGTGTCTGATGTGCACAAGTAACAAATTTTGTGTCTGTCCCTGAGTAACAATTCTCTGGCACTCAGTAACAATTCTGTCTGTCCCTGAGTAACAATTCTCTGGCACTCAGTAACAATTCTGTCTGTCCCTGAGTAACAATTCTCTGGCACTCAGTAACAATTTCTGTCTGTCCTGAGTAACAATTCTGTCTGTCCCTGAGAATGAATTCTGTGGCCCTGAGTAAGAATTCTCTGGCACTCAGTAACAATTCTGTCTGTCCCTGAGTAACAATTCTCTGGCACTCAGTAACAATTCTGTCTGTCCCTGAGTAAAAATTCTGTGGCCCTAATAACGTTTCTGTGGCCCTAAGTAACAATTCTCTGGCACTGAGTGAAAATTCTGTCTGTCCCTGAGTATGAATTCTGTGGCCCTAACTAGCGTTTCTTTGTCCCTAAATAACGATTCTGTGGCCCTCATTAACAAGTCTGTGTCCCTGAGTAATGGTTCTCTGTCCCTAAGTAACTTCTCTCTGTCCCCAATTCTCGTTTCTGTGGCCCTAACTCTGTCCCTGTCCCTAGTACAGAGCGGTCTGCCTCTGTTCAATGACTGCAGGCAAATGAAGATTTCCAAAATGGCCGCTATATATACCTCGACCATTACACAGTGCTGGCTGGCTGGCTGCTGATTGGCTGATGCGATCACATGTCGTTGAGGAAATGCATTATGGGCAGCGCGCGCCTTGTCTGCGCGCCTTCCCCGACATCCCCGCTCCGTCGCCGCACATGTCAGCCGCCATTTTCGGAAAAATTTCGATTCGCGCGTCCGAATTAGGCTGTTTTTCGGATTCGGCACGAATCGAAATTTTTCCGATATTCGACTCGAATTCCACTTCGGATACTTCGATTCGCTCATCTCTAGTTCTATTAGCTGGGAGGCATAATCTCTTCCATTTCCATACCTTCTCAGAAGAACCATTCGCACCATTCCACGTTGGAACCACACAGCATGGATAACCATGTCACAGGACAGTTTACAGCCATCAGTAAACAAATATGGAGCCGTCTTCCACCTGCTTCCCCTGTCTCTCTGTATTCAGAAGATCCTGGAGGTTGTTTCCAGCCTTCGTAAACAAAGCCTTTGACACAGCTCCAGCACCAAGATTTAGGTCTGTTCCCACACTGTTTACCACCACATTGGTCTACAGAAAGAAGACAGATCATTACTGACAAATCCAACTGGAAGAAGCATTCAGACAAGTTTATGAAGTAAAAGTTTGCCGATTACAGTCATGTAAATTAGTAGGTGAACCCCATGGAAACTGTTGAAATTTTTGACATATTTGAACAGGCAGACATTAGATCTTCATTCAAACAGTGCCTACAGACAAAGGTGATATGCTTGAACAAAAGATACATGAAATTAACATGGATTTCATCATTCTTCTAATCTAAATAAACAACAATGTAGATCTGCCACATGGAAAAATAAAAAACTGACAACCCTACCACAATTTAAAAGCCTTGAAATTAGAATCAGTTGTTTCTGATTGGTGATAATGATTAGAACCGTCTTAGAGAGTATGTAGGTACAAGTCTTATTTAACCCTTGGACATCTGGTCTTCTCTATTGGCGTGTGTGGTGTCATCACTCCAAGGTCCCCCAAAAGAAGGTTTTTAATGCTTACGAGTCTGGCAAGGGTGTGTAGAATTCAAACATTCATTCTAATATGTTAATAACTGGCTGACCCAGCAAATTTAGCCAAATAATGACTGTGATGATAGAAGAAGTCTTTAGGGACCCCAAAATTACATCCCAAGATCTGCAGATAACACTTGCAAGAGTTGGTGTTAACAAGCATGCATCTACAATCAGAGAGAGATTGCACCAATTTAACCAACATAGGAAGTGTGCCACCAAAAAAGCCTTTGCTGTCCAATAAGAATATGGAGCAAGTCTACAGTTTGCCAATGAAAACATAGGCAAAGACCAGACCTTCTGGAACAATGTGCTGAAGATTGATCAGTCAAAGACCAGGTATTCTGGAACAATGTGCTGACGACTGATCAATCAAGGACCAGGCCTTCTGGAACAATATTCTGAAGACTTATCAATCAAACATCAGGCCTTCTAAAACTATATATGCTGAAGACTACTAAATCAAAGACCAGGTCTTCTGGAACAATGTGCTGAAGACTGGTCAATCAAAGACCAGAATTTCCATGACAAAGTGCTGGAGGCTGCTCAAACACCGGGCCTTCTAGAACAATGTGCTGATGAGTAATACATTAAAGACAGTCCTTCTAGAACAACATGCTGAAGACTGATTCATTAAGACCAGGCCTTCTAGAATAACATGCTGAAGACTGATCCATTAAAGGCCAAGCCTTCTAGAATAACATTCTGAAGACTGATCCATTAAAGACCAAGCCTTCTAGAATAACATTCTGAAGACTGATCCATTAAAGACCAAGCCTTCTAGAATAACATTCTGAAGACTGATCCATTAAAGACCAAGCCTTCTAGAATAACATGCTGAAGACTGATCCATTAAAGACCAGGCTTTTTAGAACAACGTGCTGAAGACTGATCAATCAAGGACTAGACCTTCTGGAACAATGTGCTGAAGACTAATCCATCAAAGACCAGACCTTCTGGAACAATATTCTGAAGACTGATAAATCAAATGTCAGGCCTTCTGAAACAATGTGCTGAAGACTGATCAATCAAAGACCAGACCTTCCAGGACAATATGCTGCAGGCTGCTCAAAGACCAGGCCTTCTAGAACAGTGTGCTGAACACTGATCCATTAAACACCAGGCCTTCTAGAGCAACGTGCTGAAGACTGATCAGTCAAGGACCAGGCCTTCTAGAACAATATGCTGAAAATTGATAAAAGACCAGGCCTTCTGGAACAATGTGCTGAAGACTGATCAATCAAACGTCAGGCCTTCTAAAATAAAATGCTGAAGACTACTCAATCATAGACCAGGCTTTCTGGAACAATGTTCTGAAGACTGATCAATCAAAGACCAGGCCTTCTAGAACAAATGTGCTGAAGACTGATCCATTAAAGACCAGGCCTTCTAGAACAATGTGCTGAAGACTGATCCATTAAAGACCAGGTCTTCTAGAACAATGTATTCAAGGCTAATCAATCAAGGACTAGACTTTCTGGAACAATATGCTAAAAACTGATCAATCAAAGACCAGGTCTTTTGGGACAGTATGCTGAAGACTGCTCAATCAAAGACCAGACCTTCAAGAACAATATGCTGAAAACTGATCAAAGACCAGACCTTCTAGAACAAGGTGCAGAAGACTGATCAATCAAACACCAGACCTTCTAGAACAATGTGCTGAAGACTGATCAATCAAAGATAGAGTTGTTTGGGCACAGTAATAGTAGATATTCTTGACGCAAACTGAATACAGCATTTTATGAGAACATCATAACAACAGTGAATTATGGTGGTAGAAAGGTTATGGTTTTAGATTGCTTTGCTGCGTCAAGGCTTGTCAGGGCCAGTCTACCAAAGACTGGCAGGCAGTTATCCAAACTATATATATGAAAAATCTTGTTTTGCTGTATGTATAGAAACCACTATGAACATAAGGGTGTGTGGCAACCAAATCAAATTAATAGTGCAAAGTTCTGGTCCCCCAGAACCATATATGTGTGGAAAATCAGCTTTTTTAAAATCTGTGAAATCCCAGGTGAATACCAACACCACTGTTGCAATCAGCTTCTTACCAAACAGGAAAGAACTCTTGCAGTGATCATATCATAAACATCGGAAGCCACAGATAGCGCCAGCAGGGATCAGAAATGATTCTCACCTCCACTCAGCCTAAACCATGTATTCAGCAAGAGAACACATAACAAACCTCATAGTGCAAACCTCCAGGTTTATTGCTTTAAAATTGAAAGAATTAATCACAAGCATAGATTTGTAGAAGACCGAACAAACATCTCCGCAACCGCTTTCTCCAGAGGCGTGATGACGTCAGCACAAGCTCCGCTCCGACATGCTTCATCACATCAGACATTCTCAGGGGGCCAACAAGTAATTTCTGCTAAAGTGGCAATACCAAGGACCAAGGGTGTACTTACAGTCAGGTCCATAAATTTTGGGACATCGACACAACTCTAACATGTTTGGCTCTATACACCACAATGGATTTGAAATGAAATGAACAAGATATGCTTTAACTGCAGACTGTCAGCTTTAATTTGAGGGTATTTACATCCAAATCAGGTGAACGGTGTAGGAATTACAACAGTTTGCATATGTGCCTCCCACTTGTTAAGGGACCAAACATAATGGGACAATTGGCTTCTCAGCTGTTCCATGGCCAGGTGTGTATTATTCCCTCATTATCCCAATTACAATGAGCAGATAAAAGGTCCAGAGTTCATTTCAAGTGTGCTATTTGCATTTGGAATCTGTTGCTGTCAACTCTCAAGATGAGATCCAAAGAGCTGTCACTATCAGTATCAGTATCAGTGACTATCAGTATCATTAGGCTGAAAAAACAAAACAAACCCATCAGAGAGATAGCAAAAACATGAGGCGTGGCCAAAACAACTGTTTGGAACATTCTTAAAAAGAAGGAACGCACCGGTGAGCTCAGCAACACCAAAAGACCCGGAAGACCACGGAAAACAACTGTGGTGGATGACCGAAGAATTCTTTCCCTGGTGAAGAAAACACCCTTCACAACAGTTGGCCGGATCAAGAACACTCTCCAGGAGGTAGGTGTATGTGTGTCAAAGTCACCAATCAAGAGAAGACTTCACCAGAGTGAATACAGAGGGTTCACCACAAGATGGAAACCATTGGTGAGCCTCAAACACAGGAAGGCCAGATTAGAGTTTGCCAAACGACATGTAAAAAAGCCTTCACAGTTCTGGAACAACATCCTATGGACAGATGAGACCGACATCAACTTGTACCAGAGTGATGGGAAAGAAGAGTATGGAGAAGGAACTGCTCATGGTCCTAAGCATACCACCTCATCAGTGATCATGGTGGTGGTAGTGTCATGGCGTGGGCATGTATGGCTGCCAATGGAACTGCTTCTCTTGTATTTATTGATGATGTGACGGCTGACAGAAGCAGCCGGATGAATTGTGAAGTGTTTCGGGAATATTATCGGCTCATATTCAGCCAAATGCTTCACAACTCATTGGACGCTTCACAGTGCAGATGGACAATGACCCAAAGCAGACTGCAAAAGCAACCAAAGAAGTGGAATGTTCTGCAATGGCCAAGTCCATCACCTGACCTGAATCCGATTGAGCATTTCACTCGCTGAAGACAAAACTGAAGGGAAAATGCCCCAAGAACAAGCAGGAACTGAAGACAGTTGCAGTAGAGGCCTGGCAGAGCATCACCAGGGATGACACCCAGCGTCTGGTGATGTCTATGCGTTCCACACTTCAGGCTGTCATTGACTGCAAAGGATTTGTAACCAAGTATTAAAAAGTGAAAGTTTGATTTATGATTATTATTCTGTCCCATTACTTTTGATCCCTTAACAAGTGGGAGGCACATATTCAAACTGTTGTAATTCCTACACCGTTCACCTGATTGGATGTAAATACCCTCAAAGCTGACAGTCTGCAGTTAAAGCACATCTTGTTCCGATGTCCCAATATTTATGGACCTGACTGTACTTTTTCCACATTACGCCATTATATCTGTTGATATTGTTATTGAATAAATAATAGAAAAAGCAAATTTCTCCAGTGTTCTTGTTCAAGTATATCACGTTATATCTGAAGGCACTGTATGAATAAAGATCCAATCTTTACCTACTCAAATTTATTACAAAAAGTCAACAAAAGGGTGTACTTATGTTTTCACATGACCATAACTGTAGGCTATCCAGGATAGTGAAACATTTTCATAAAACATGTACAGTGTGTGTGTAGAGGTACACAGTATATATAACATAGGCTTGGGGTCTTCATATTCCTTGGCTCACATTTGATATGGAATGGACGTATATTAGAAGTCCTGCATAATGTTACATCTTGTGATAAGTTATTACAGGTGTAGCACTACCCTCTTAAGAGTTGCTGAAGATTTGGGTCCCCCTATAGTCCTGCACAGCCAGGCAACACACATGTTCTCAGACTTGCATTCTGGAGACAGTAAACGGTCCTTGAGCTTGTTTATTTTTAGTTTTATTAG